ATTTTGTTTTTCATTGAGTACGTGGCTCCCATTGATAAAGACACACCCTCCTCAAAAGACAGTTGCTCTGGCCGGGTGCGGTGGCTCAAGCCTGTATAATCCCAGCACTTTGGGAGGCCGAGATGAGAGGATTGCCTGAGCTCAGGGGTTCGAGACCAGCCTCGGCAACTTGGTAAGATCTCATCTCTACAATAAATCAAATAAATAAATAAACCAGGCATGGTAGCACGCGCCTGTAGTTCCAGCTACTTGGAAGGCTAAGACGGAAGGATTGCCTGAGTCCAGCAGGTCAAGGCTGCAGTGGCCATGAGCATGCCACTGCACTCCAGCCTGGGTGACAGCGTGAGACTCCAACTCAAAAAAAAAAAAGACATTTGCTCCCCTTTGCCCTTGGTCCTTGCCCCAGTCTGCAAGGCCTGCAAGATGTCCCCTCCCTTTCCCCCATTCTCTTCCTTTTCCTCATCCCCCAGCCCTGGGCCTTTGCCAACTCCAGCACCCTGAGCTCCTTGTTGAACTTAAAAGAAGGAAGCGTGCCCTGGCCTCAGATCTCTGCCAGGCTCCCCAATTCCCTCAGGGTGCTCCAACATCCCCAGACCGCCCTTCTTCCAAGATATTGGTGTTTGTCTTTCCTGTGTATGTGTATGTTTCCCCACCGAACCATCAGCACCATGAGAGGAGGACTTCTGTGTGTTTGGTTCACTGCTGAGTCCTCAGCATTTAGAATAGGATGCAAATGTTCGATTAACATTTGCTGAGTGAAAATGCAGTTTAAATGACTAAAGCTAAAGCTAATTGACTAAAGCTAGTATACTGAAGCAAGTTTAAATGTAAGTACCAAAGTACTACAGGAAGTTAAGTAACTGGAGTTGAGAGGATACAAAAGAATCCAATTTAAAGCCTCCTGTAAACACTGTGAGCCTTGCTCTCCAGTTAGGATCAGGGCTCAGTCTGATGGGTAACTCACTTTCCCTCAGGAACCAGCCCCCCCCCAAAGGCTAATGTGGACCTCCCATCTACTGTGGCACCTAGTGACCTAGGCAGATGGTGCTGCTTGTCCCCTAGTACAGCCACCCCTACCAGTGCTCATTAGCTATTTGATTGGAGGGGATGGATGAGAATAGAGTCTGGCCTGGTGCAGTGGCTCACCCCTGCATTCTCAGCACTTTGGGAGGCAGAGGTGGGAGAATTGCTTGAGCTCAGGAGTTCAAGCTCACCAGCCTAAGCAACATAGTAAGACTTTGTGTCAACAAAAAAATTAGCCAGGCATGGTAGTGCATGCCTGTAGTCCCAGCTACTTAGGGGGCTGAGGCAGAAGGATCGCTTGAGCCCAGGAGGTCAAGGCTGTGGTGAGCCAGGATCTCACCACTGCACTCCAGACTGGGCAACAGAGTGAGGCCCTGACTCAAAAACAAAAAAGAAGAAAAGAAAGAAAGACAGAGCCTGCAGCCTGTGGACCCTGCCCCCTGCCATCATAGCCCTAAAGCCCAAGATGAGAATGAGGGGGCATGATGTAGGCCCTGGGAGGAGCGGCTGGGGAACATGGGGAGGTGGAGGCGGCTTTTGTGGTGAGCATGGTTTTCCCATTCAATGTGAATGGGGCCGGGAGGATGGTGGTGAATCAACAGCTGCTTCCATAGCACAGATGGAAAAGTCACTTTTATTTTAGGCCTGGGCTTTTCTTCCCCTGCCTTTCTCCCGGAAACATCAGTTCCACCCCAGAAGAGAGACCTAAAGGGACACCTCCAGACTCCCGGCCTCTACACAGAGCCCAGAGGCTCGGGACTGTTGGTGCTGGCGTTTTAAAAGGCACAGTGCTCCGGTGCTCCCAGGAGAACCCCCCAAAATGACTGTTCTGTGCATGGAGGGACTGAGGTAGGGAGTTGGAGGCCAGCAGCCTTGTGTCTTGAGTTTTCCTCTGTGTCAGCTCTCCAGAAATCCCTCATTCGGGATAAACCATGCTCAGGAAAGGCTGAGCACATGGCCTACTTATAGGCAGCGTTAATTATGGGCTCTGGGGTGGCATTTTCCTGTCATCATATAACCAGCTTCCAGGGCTGTTGATAGGGACTGATTTGTCCCGAGACCTTCCAAACCCCTTCTCTGACCGTGCTCCTGACACCTCAGCCTGGGTCCTGCTGTGGTGTGGAGCAATGACTGGGTGGGAGAGGAAAGAAGCGACAATGCCAGGCTCCGGGCTGGAGGCTGGCAGGGTTAGCACTGCAGCCTGCCAAGGGGATTCACAGCAGAAGATGCATCTGTGTGGGCCAAGGTGGGGTTTCGAGGGGTGGCTGGACGCAGCTCCTTTTGGGGTCTGAGGCTGCTAGCAGGAGGTTGCAGCCCAGCTGGGCCTCGCAGGGCCTTACCCTGGGTTGATTGTCTTCCCCTCCCTGGAAAGTTCATCTGCCCACCCACAGGTTCCTGCAAATACGTGCATAGTCCCGCAAAGGCGCTGGTAAACAGTTCTGTCTTGCGAGTGGAATCTCATTGTGTTTTGCAGACTTCATGCTTTCCAGCTCGTTTGTGAAGCGAGCAAGGGGTATCATTAGCGCTCTCTTACTTGTTAAGTTGCCCGAGAGGGAAAAAAAACAAACAAGAAAGTTTTTCCTCCTTCGAGAGTCTAATTACTTGCTTGGTGAGTCCCAACCCATATACATTTCCAAAGAGAGAGACACTCGATTCCTGCCGAAGAAATGTCTTGGGCGGGTTTCAGGGACAGACCCTCTGCCTGCTATTCTGCTGTCTGCCATCACTGTAACCGAGCAAGACAGTTGTCAAAACTTCTCGATGAGTTTAGGAAGCTCTGCCTCCTGTGGTGGTCCTTGGGGAAGTCCCCACCCTGTGGTGGTCCTTGGGGAAGTCCCCACCCCACTCCAACCTTCCTTTCTCTTGGCCCATTCTTGCCTCCAGTCACAACATGCCACACTCCTTCGTACTGCCCTGCCTCTGTCATTTCTGGCCCTATGATGGGTGTGTGCTTTCCTTCCCCTTACATGTCCCTTGCCTTGGCCCCCTCGCCAACCCCAGTGAATTCCCCGCCTCTGAGCAGGCTCTGTATCTTGTACCTGCTTTTGTTTTTGCACAAGCCCGCTTACTTTATTTATCTGACTCCTCTCCCTACTAGGCTGAGCTCCCTGAGGGAGGTCTCCACTCCATCACCTTTTTATCTTTCACATCTAGCTAGTGCCCACACACAGTGGAGTGCACTGGAGTGGGTGGGTCCTTAGGATGGAACACTCACCCTCCAGAATAGTGAAGGTTCAAGCATGTACTTCCGATGTGTCCCTAGCCCAGCTTCCCAGTTTTTGATTCCCGTGCCTCACCCATTGTCAAATATAACATCTGCATTCTTGACACTAGCAACCCATCTTGTGACTTGTTTTTAGTTACCCTCTGTCTTAGTCTGTTTGAGCACTGTGACATTATACTGGGTGATTTATAAACAGCAGAACTGTTTTGCTCACAATTCTGGAGCCTGGGAAGTCCGAGATCAAAGCACCCACAAATTGAATGTCTGGTGAGGGCTCGCTGCCCCAAAGATGGCGCCTTCTAGCCATGTCCTCCCATGGCAGTCAGGTACAAGGGCAAACAAGCCCCTTCAGGCCTCTTTTATAAGGGTACTGATCCCTCTCATAAGATCTCCAGCCTCATGACCTAATTATCTCCCAAAGGTTCACCTCTTGATGCTATCACATTGGAGGTCAAGTTTCAACATAAGAACTTTGGGAGGGGACATAAACATTGAGAACATAGCAAGACTCCACAAAAAAATTTAAAAATTAGCTGGGCCGTGGTGGTGTGCACCTGTAGTTCTAGCTACTCAGGGGGCTGAGGTGGGAGGATCGCCTGAGCCTAGGAGGTCAAGGCTGCAGTAAACAGTGGTCATGCCACTGTGTTCCAGCTTGGGTGACAAAGTGAGACCCTGACTCAAAAACAAAACAATTTTAAAAAAGAAAAAAATCCATAGCGCCCTCCTAACTGTGTACTGATTTGTTTTGGTCATATTTGTTTTGGAATCTCTCCATTCACTCATTCATTCATTCTGCTTGCTTCCTGGACCAGCCACTTTTTAGGTCCAGGGCATGCAGCAGTGAACAACACATGTGGCCCCTGCCCTCATGAAACTTACATTCTAATAGGGAGAGACAGACAAGAAGCCAGTCAGTCGATAAGTAAAGTAATGTGGAGGAATGATGACAGGTGGGGACATGGGCTCTGCCTCTCGATGGGTCCTGGGAGGTCACAACGCAAAGGGCACATGGGATGGGAGGTCCTGTGCAGTCATTCTTGGAAAAGATGCTCGGCCACGTCATTTTTTATTTTTCTACTCTTTTGCTTGTGAAAATGTTCTTGAGTATTCTGGCAGAAGAAAAGGCCCTGATTATGTAAGGTTTTCCTTGTTTGCTGATGTGGTTAGATAATCATTCATATTTTGTTAAACTGGTCCCCATAGCCTACACTTGCTGAGAAGACACATCCCAAGCTGTGGAAGGAAGGGAAGGCATGCTCCCAGCAGGAACAGTGTACCAGGGGACATCCAAATGTTGCCGCAAGGGTGGGGCAAGTCAGCAGTGGGCTTAGTACTGGCCTCTGCACTTCCGTAGCAGAAAGCCTAAGGTGTGAGACAGGTGTCCTCTACATCTTGCTGTGTCAGGATCTCTGGTTCAGGACTCTTCACATCACTTAGCTATGGGCAGCCAGGCACCCTGACCTGCCTGATGCGTATGGTCAGACGGTCAGGGCTTGGTACTCCTTGGGCCTTTGCCCTTCACTGAAACCATACTTTGAAGACCTAATGAGAGAACGCTCAGGAGGACATTCAGATTCCCAAAGCTCTGACAATAATTGAAAACCACTGGTTGCTTCATTCTCACAGATAACACCTGTGGTGTCAGAAACTTCACAAACTGGTTACCTTGGGCTGGGGCTGTCACAGCCAGCTCCTCCTGTGCGTCCTGCCCTCCTCTCCCTGCTCTAACTCACTGCCTCCTTTGGCCTGACAGGCGAAGATGAGCCCTGGTGGTGCCCCTCCCTGCAGGAAGTCAAGGAGGTGTTGTACAGTCTGGGAGCCCACGACACTGCTCTGGACCCACTAGGGCCCTCTCAGCAGGACAGCAGGTGAGTACTTCCCTTTTCTCGCTGCCTTCTCTCGTTTGAAAGTTATTGGATTGGGCCTGGCCCTGGCCCTGGCCCATGTTGGGGAATTACAGAACAACCATTCTCCCACCCTTGAGTAGAAGTAGCACTCCGCGAATGGCAAGTGAATTTCTGTGCTCCCAGCCTCAGAGATGGGAAGCACCAGGGATAGATGAGCCTCGCTGCTTTGTCTATACCTGTTTCTGCCACTGACTGACTCAGAGCCCCTGCTGCTCCCCCCTCTTCAATGAAACCCAGACTTCCCAGCCTAGTTAGTATCTTCCCAGATGTGTTCCAATCTCTTTAGTCTGTCTCCAAACCTCTCGCTTGGTCTAATGCCTAATATCGATTCACAAACAGCAAAGCAGGGTTTTATACTTCTGCAGTGCTCAGCTTGTTTTATGAGTGCCCACTGTGTGCCCTGGGCTAGGTTTGGTAGTGAACAATGATGCATCATCCCCGCCCTCTAGGAATAGTGCCACATAAAACATAAATAATGATTGTTGGGTGGACAGTGACTAGATCAAGGTTGTAAGATTGTTGTATATTATAATCTTGTTCTACAAATTATTGCACATCTCAACTCTTGCTTGAAAATCCTGGTCTAGCCCAGTGGCTCATGTTTGTAATTCCAGCACTTTGGGAGACTGAGGTGAGAGAATTGCTGGAGCCCAGGAGTTTGAGACCAGCCTGGGCAACGTAGTGAGACCTCTATCTGTATAAAACCTCATCACATGTCTCATCACACACACACAAATTTTTTTTTTTATTAATTGGGTATGGTGGTGCATGCCTGTGGTCCCAGCTACTCAGGAGGCTGAAGTGGAAGGATCGCCTTAGCCCAGGAGTGAGCCATGGTCATGCCACTGCACAACAGCTTGGGCAATAGAATGAGACCATGACTCAAAAAAAAGAAAAAAATGTAAAAAAAGACAAAAAGGGTGGCGCTCGGTGGCTCAGCCTGTAATCCTAGCACTTTGGAAGGCCGAGGCAAGTGGATTGCCTGAGCCCGTGGGTTCGAGACTCGCCCGGGCAACTTGGTGAGACCTCGTCTCTACAGTAAATCAAAAATTAGCTGGGCATGGTAGCGCTCACCTGTATTTCTGGCTACTTGGAAGGCTAAGGCGGAAGGATGGCCTGAGCCCAATGGGTTGAGGCTGCGGTGGCCGGGAGCGTGCCACTGCACTTCTAGTCTGGGCGACAGAGTGAGACTCCAACTCAAAAAAAAAAAAAAAAAGACAAAGAGAAAATCATTTGAGAAGTTGGTTTGAGATACAACAGTGTTTTGAAATCTGGAGGGGCTGTTATATAAGAACCCCCTCCATGCATCCTGCTGACAACCCTTGGCTCCAGGAGGTGCCAGGACCTTTTCCCTTGCCTTGGTGGGCAGATGTTCCTCTGCAGTGAAAGCTGGAGCTTTCTTAAGAACCTGTTCCACGACTGTGTTTAGAAATTGTCTGCCAATGCAAACCACACTCAGCTCTGCTATAAATACCCCATGCATGTGCCAGCCTGTGGTGTTCCTACCCCTTTCCCACCCGGAGTTCCGTATCTGGTGGCTTCCAATAAGCCACTTGGCTCTTTCTAACATGGAGCTTCAGTCACACCGCTGTCTTCGATGAGTGAGGGACAGAATGACACTCAGAAAAACAAAGGCATGTGGGGGGGGCGGGGCCTGGAGGGGATGGGGTTTAGAAGAGCCAAATGTGACCGCTGTGATGAGCACCTTGCCAGTCCACCTGGGAGTGAGAGGTGGCACTGGAGACTTACAAGCACAGGGTTCCACACCACTCTGCAGAGAGCCATTTTCCCCCTTCACTGCCTCCCAGTCCTTCCAGGATTTGAGGGCTCCCTGCCTTCCATGCTGCAGGACAAATCTGCTGTCTCCTGGGCAGCTGAGGGTGGGGGATGGGGTGATGAGAGCCATGGCCCTTTAAATGCGTCATCTCAAGTACTTTGGAACACAAACCTCAGCACGCAGACCTCAGCTTTCCCAGGCATAGTTAAGACCCGTGTGGGAGGAAGGCAGAGCCATGCTGTCCTAGAGCAGGGCCCAGAAAGCTGCCAGAGCCTCTTGTCACATTCCCAGACACGCTGTTTTGACACCCTACCGCCTTTCCTTGGGCCCCAGACCTTGGGCTGGCTGTTAACACCATTCCCCCTCCGAGGATTCAGAACAACCCTAGACGATCCAGCTGATGGCTGCAGGGGTGGGTTTCCCTGCTTGCAGTTCTGTGAGAACAGGTTGGGCACCTTCTGCCAAGCCACTCAGGACCAGGGAGGCTCTTCTGCCTGGAGACTCTGCCCATGTCTTCCCTGAGTTGGGTGGGTGATGAAAATGCTCCAGTAGGTTTCCTGGGTTGCTGCCTGGCTGCTATACTTGGGAAGCTCTGGATCTCATGGGTCTGGAGACAATACCTCCAGAGTATTAAGGAAGTATCAAGAAGGTTCCAGCATCTCCTCCCCCAAGGGCACCCTTCATGGATATGTGGGCCACAAGGAAAACCTCAAGGGAGGCCACCTTCTCCCCACTATCCTCTTCGTCCTTGTTCCTGACCATACCCAGAGGCTTGTCTCGTGCCAGTTGGTTCTATGCTAGGTTTGTCTTTTCTGCTGATTTCCGGGGATGCCTCCACCTAGGGTTCCCCTGGCAGAACAGATGCCTCTGGGGCACCCACAGAGCCTCATAATGGCCAAGTCTGGAAATGAAGGGCTGAGATGTCTCTGCCTATGGCCCCACAACTGGGCTGTCTCTCTAGTTGCTATGAGAAAGACAAATCTTTTACCACTTCTTCCTAGTCTCAGATTTCCTTAAAAGCCATCACCATCTTCCATCTAGTGCTTCAGGATTTCCTTTCAAAAAGATGCAGTCTTGGCTGGGCTTAGTGGCTCACACCTGTAATCTTAACACCTTGGAAGGCCAGAGCAGGAGGATTGCTTGAGCCCAGGAGTTCAAGACCAGCCTAGGCAACATAGCGAGACTTTGTCTCTACAAAAAAAATAATTAATAAATAAATTAGCTTGGCATGGTGGCCTGTGACTGTAGTCTCAGCTACTGGGGGGGCTCAGGCAGAAGGATTACCTGAGGACAGGAGGTCAAGGCAGCAGTGGGACATGGTAGTGCGACTGTACTCCAGCCTGGGTGACAGAGTGAGACCCCTAACTCAAAAAAAAAAAAAAAAAAAGATACAGTCTTTCTGCAACTGGACCATGCGGGCCATCTGGTGCACTTTGTTGAAAACAGAGTGGCCCAGGCTGGGCTCTGTGGTTCAACCTGTAATCCCAGCAGTTTGGGAGATTGAGGCGAGTGGATTGCCTGAGCCCACAGGTTTGAGACCAGCCCAGGAAACTTGGCGAGACCTCCTCTCTACAATACATCAAAAATTAATCGGGTGTGGTAGCCCACGCCTGTAGTTCTGGCTCCTTGGAAGGCTGAGGCAGGTTGACGCTGGGGTGGCCGTGAGTATGCCACTGCACTCCAGCCTGGGTGACTGAGTGAGACTCCAACTCAAAAAAAGAAGAAAACAGAGTGGCCCTCTGCTCAATGAGGAGGCTGGGGTGGAAATATGGGAGGACATTTGGGAGTGAAAGAGCAGAGGAGGAAGGACCAGGACCACGTTTATGCATGGGAAGCCGGAAGGAGAGCATCAGCATCCTCAGAGGGGCTTGTGCCCACAGAATGGGGCTCATCTGGTGACACCAGTCTCACTTAGAAGCACAGGGAGGGGAAGGCCTTTAGGTAGCTATGGCTGGTCCTCCAAGGTTGCCCCTGATTCTAAGCCCAGCTGAAGAGCCCCACTCAGATACACAGGCCTGGCCACCAAAGACCAGCAGCCTGGAGCTGTTGACTTGTACCAGAGGCCTTCATCCTCTTAGTTCTTAGAAGAGCAGCCCCATGCAGAGGCCAAGTGGGTAAATAAATGAAGTTAGTACATTGACAGGCATCCTGTCAAGCATGGAGGCGGTTGTTAACTGGCCTTTACAACAGTGTAACTCAATCCAGGTAAAATTCATTTGTCTCCCCTTCCATCAGCTCAGCATTAATTCCTCTTCCTGGTATTGACCTCCGCTGCTGCGCCGAGCCAAGGTAATAGGTCAGGTTTGATTTAGCGGCACAGTCCTGTGGGAGAGTACCTTCTAGCTGCCAGGACACAGCCAGTGTGGTGGTGCCCCAGCCGCTGGCACCTTCAGACGACTCTTGGTTATGGTGAGAGTGGTAGTCATACACTCTATTTACCATCTTCCATCTAAGAAGGTGGGGATTATATACTGATAGTAACTTGATTATTTTTTTCAACTTTTGGAGAAAGAAGATATAAAAACATGGTCAGGCACAGTGGTTCACACTGTAATCCCAGTACTTTTGGAGGCCAAGATGGGAGAATTGCTAGATCCCAGGAATTTGAGACTAGCCTGGACAACATAGCAAGACCTTGTCTCTACAAAAAATTAGCGGGGCCTGGTAGCGCATGCCTGTAATCCCAGCTACTCGGGAGGCTAAGGTGAAAGGATGGCCTGATCCCAGGAAGTCAAGGCTGCAGTGAACTGTGATCATGCCATGCACTCGGCTCTGGGCAACAGAATGAGATCCTGACTCAAAAGTAAATAAATAAAGTAAGATACAGAAGCCTAGGTAGAGGTCATTATGTGCCCCTCATAAGATTACTTAATGAATGCAGAACAGTGTCGCTGAGACCCAAACTCCAGCTCCTGGATGCTGGCCACAGACTGAGGCCTAACTAACCCAAGCATCCTGGGGCGGGGAGCGGTACCAATGAGGCTGCCTTGCTCACAGAATCCAACAGTGGAACCATCAGCTCGCTCTTAACCTGCTGAGTCCTGGAGGGAGCAAGGATTGATAGGCTGTGAATTCCCTTGCTCCATGGCCTCTTGCTTGCAAGAGTAGTGGAGTTTCAAGGATCAGCTGATGCTGCATCTCAGAATAGCAGTCACAGACACCAGCGGTTCAGTCAAGTGACTCCTCAGGAATAGAGGGACCCCATTATATTGCCTGTTAGCCTGCCGTTCCCAAGGAGAAGTAAGCCAGCAAAATTCTTGAGCTCATGCAGGCAGTCTGTCCACCCTCTGACCTGGGAAGCCTGGAGTTCCTTCCCAAGGAGGAGAAGACCTTAGTCACAGCCACACTTCTCCTCCACGGCTCTGAGAAGACATGGCACCAGCGCACACTTTCCATATTCTGGCTCCAAACGTTGGCAGCACCAAACTTCTGAAAGCCCATGTCTCTTCAGCAGACTTCTGCTCGACCCGGCTGCCCCATCCTTGGGGAAACCTGAAAGCACACCCACCCATGCTTGCGTACTGGGTGCACGCTCACCGGCTGGTACAAGCCAGAGCTCCCCCTCATATACTGGCACAGGCACAGTCCGTGTCCAGATGTGCAAACACCAGCCTCACCCATTCTCTGCCCCTAATGCTAAAATCTGGAAGAAGGGCTGGGCCCAGCTCCACCCCCTCCCCCATCAACTTTGATTTGTCGGTACCAACTTCCCGGTGCCTAGGAGATGGATCTCTCCTCCTCCCCCCGAGCAGCAGCACCAAAACCAAGAAGTGAAGAGGAGCAGAGCTTTGCTCAGCGTGTTCCCCATGCCCAAGGCAGGGGACTACCCAGGGCCTGTCGTCATCCATATCTTCACTTATTGAGAATTATTGTCACCAGGAACTCTGAGCTAGTTCACACAAGTGGAGGGGGGATGAGACAGCAAAGCAGAGCCTTGTCATGAGCTCACTTAATTTACTTGAAGTCAACAGTATTTGGCCAGAGAGAGGATGACATAGTGAGGGTGACCCTGCCCAGTCTCTCATCCAGTGAGCGTGTGTCCAGGAAGCTGGTGGGAAGCCATCTCACCACCCTGAGTGTGGCACTGGGCCTTAAAGGGGGGGATTGTTTTTACACAACTGTGGCCTCTAACTGTATCTGGTACTCATCCAGATCCATTTCATCACTAGGGAAGCTGGCCACGTTGGGCTTGTCAGGAGACAACATGTCAGTTCAAGGTGACACCCTTGGAGGGCGCTTTCAAGGATTGTTTTTATTCTAGTTTTCGCCTTCCTTGCTGACTTTAGGAACTGACCCCCATGTCAGGTACCACATGGCGTACTTTTCGGTGCATGCAAAGATTCACAACATCAAATTGTCAGAGAGAGGATTCTTTTGAGGAAAACTCTTCAGGGGCATTAGAAGTATGATTTTCCAACTTCTGAGTCCCAGAAAGGTGAAGCGGTTGGCCTTGCCCATATGGCAGCCTGTGGGATCCGGCCCCCAAAGGATGCCCCATTGATCCTCACCTCCTGGTGTTCACATTCTTGTATAGTCCCCTCCCATACCAAGTCAGGATGGCCTTCACGACAAAATGATACCAGTAGAGGAGATGATATATCACTTCCAAGATTAGCTTGTTAAAAACTATGGCTTGGTCTCGGGCATATTTTCTCTCCCTGTCCCTCTCTGTTTCTCTCTCTCTCTCTGTCTCTCTCTCTCTGTCTCTCTGTTTCTCTCCCTGTCTCTATCTCTTTGTTTCTCTCTGTCTCTCACCCCCTCAGATCACTAGCTTTGAGGAAACCAGCTGCCACATCAAGAAACCTTTGGAGGCCCATGTGACAAGGAGCTGGGGCAGTGGATCGAAAGCCACATGAGTGAGGCAGGTCCTCCAGCCCAGTCAAGCTGAGATGCCCACAGCCCCACCCAACATCTTGAGGGTGACCCCCAACAGACCCCGAGCCAGAACCATGCAGCTAAGCAGCTCCTGGATTCTTGACTCTCAGAAACAGCATGAGATAATTAATGCTGTTTTTGGACTGAGTGCAGTACTCACACCTGTAATTCCAACACTTTGAGAGGCCGAGGGGGGAGGATTGCTTGAGGCCAGGAATTTGAGACCAACCTAGGCAACAAGGTGAAACCCTGTCTCTACAAAAAAAAGAAGCCAGGCATGGTGGCACGTACCTGTAGCCCCATCTCCTCTGGGAGCTGAGACAGCAGGATTGCTTGAGCCCAGGAGTTGGAGTCTGTAGTGAGCTGTGATTGTGTCACTATACTCAGGCCTGAGCAACAGAGTAAAACCCTGCCTCAAATAAACAGATAGATGAATATATGAATGAAAGAATGATGTTTTTAAGCCACTACTTTTTGGATTAATTTGTCGTGCCCCAGTAGATGACCAACACCCGGGGCAGCAGTGCCCTTGCTGGCTGAGTCATCTGAGTTCCCTGTACCTGCGCAAGTGTGGGCCTCTCACTCTGCCTCACTCCCCTCTGCCTACCCCCTGCCTACCTCCTCTTACTTCCTATCATCTATATTGTTGTTGTCCTCCTACCTTAGAGTGCTTACAGGTGAGGCCAGCCTGAGCGGGAACGAGCAGCCGGAAGCTCCCCAGGAGGCTGCCTTAGACATTAGCCTGAACCACATCAATAAGGTGAGTCAAGCGCCCGCCGCACCCCTCTTGGCTCGCCATTCAGACCTATTCAGCAGTTTAATCCAGTGAGTGCCACAGAGCATCTAAGGTAAGCTCAGCAGCACTACAGCAGACGTTGTGCTGCCTGCAGGCCTGACCAATGCCATAGGAAGCACATGCTCTCCATGCCTGTGCCTGCTGCCTGAGGACCCATAGGGGGCTTAGAATCCAGGCCTCACTTAGAATCCAAAGGGCTCATGCCTGCCTGCCTGTCCTCGAAGTCCTTTTTCCTCCCCCGCAACCCCCACCACCACATGGCTATGGCCATCCCTGCCGTCATACTCTCCTTCTCTTCAGTTCCTGACACTGTGTGTCCTGGCCCAGCCAGGGGCCTACACCGATGAGAACCTTCTATACCTGATTGAGCTGCTGTGCCGCGCAGGCCTGGATGTGGGCCTCCGCCTGTTGCCCAAGACTGACCTCCAGCAGCTCCTGCTTCTGCTCCTGGAGAACATCCGGGAGTGGCCGGAGAAGGTACCCCAAACCCCGAGCCTGATCTGCACACAGCTTTGTCACTAGAGACTGAGGTGGCCCCCTTGGATGGGAATGACGCTCTCTGGAGGTCATCGGAATGCCCTTGGCCTCTGTGACTGACCCCCTAGTCCCCCGAGCAGGCGGGGTGGTAAGGGCAGAGTGGAAGGCGGCCTCCTCCGTCAACCCACCAGAATGCCCCTTCTCTCACAGCTCCAGCAGCTGTGCTGTGCCCTAAGCTGGGTGTCGGACCACCACCACAATCTCCTGGCCCTCGTGCAGTTCTTCCTGGATGTGACCTCCCGGAGCAGGTAGGTGCTGCTCCTTCTTGGTCTCCTCCCTCAGACACTCATTCCCACGGGGTCCTGCAGGAATCCATAACCTTCCCCATCAGCCCCAACAAACCTCCCGCCTAATTTTTCTAAATCCCCAGGAGGAAGAGCTAAAAATACACCGCACTAATGAGTTCTTTACAAATAAAAAAAATGTCTAATTTTCTTAACTTGGTCTTATTGGCAAAACAATTGCTGGTGCAATTACCTTCTGCCTGAAGTGCCCTCTCTTCCTTTCTTTAGGGCTCCCTTCCCAGTCTTTGGCTGTGGGTTCCTTCTTGTCATTCAAACCTCAGCTGAATTATGTCCCCTGATCATGCCTCCCCGGCCCCCTGAACTCTCAATTATTCTGTTTTATTTTCTGCATTGCATTTAGCTCTGCTAGAAATTGTCTCCCTCTTTGTTTCCTTGTTTATGACTGCCTCACTCCTCCAAGTCACCTCCCCCACAGCAGGCACCTTGCTGGGGTAACTGTCATATTGCCCCAAATCTAGAACAGTACCTGGTATGCTGTTGGCACTTTGTAAATTATTTTCCAATGAATGGCCGAGGTGAGCAAACAAACTCAGGAGGGATAAGACTCATTGATTGGATGTGACCCTGTCTCTCCTCATCTCTCCACCTCCTTCTCCACTGGGGCCCCGCCCTTTACTGAATAGACACTCCTCACGCCCTCTCTTCTCTGGGCCTATTTGTTGGCAGCACCTCCTGCCTAGAATGACACCCTTCCCACCCCAACCTTCAGCAGGGGCAGGCACCTTCAGGGTTACTGCCCACTGGGACCCCTTCCCCTGTGACTGTCTGAGAGTGGCCTCTGGGAGCAGATTTGGAGTTACCTAGGCTAGTCTCGGACTCCTGGGCCCAAGCAATCTTCCCACCTCAGCCTCCCAAAATGCTAAGATTATAGGTGTAAGCCACTGCTTCTGGCTCCTAAATCCTTATTTATGGCCTTCTCTCCATGTCAACTCCGTGACAGCTGGTGCCTCATCTGGATCACTTTAAATCAGTCACTTTCTTTCCGGTTTTCTTCTCAGTACCTCACCCAGAGGGTGACAGATGCATTCTATTTCTTACTCTTCCCCCCAAGTCTGTTCTGTTCTGTGGTTACTTGTGATTATTGTGTCCCTGCCTTGCCTTGCTCCCTTCAGCTGCAGGGCCAAATCCAAATGCCTTAGGCTGGTCTCCAAGGCTTCCCATCATCGAGCCCAATTTCCCATTTGCTTCAACCAGACCACGTTGTTTGTGATGCTGTGTGCGCACGCGCGCTCTCTCTCTCTCTCTCTCTCTCTCTCTCTGTCTCTCTCACACACACACACACACACACACACACACACACACACACACACACACACACACACACAAATACAAATGAGCCTCATTCTTTTTCACAGCAGCATAGTATTCCCTAGTGTGGGCAACTACTCCTCTAATACAGGACATTCACTCAGTGACTGTATACAATCTTTGAGCATCTGTGCAAACATTTCTCTGCGATCAATTACTCAAAGTGAAATTGCAGTCCTAAAGTATGTATATTTAAAATTTGACCTCCCCGGGCTCCGTGGCTCAGCCTGTAATCCTGTACTTTGGGAGGCCGAGGTGAGTGAACTGCCTGAGCCCGCAGGTTCGAGACCTACCTGGGCAACTTGGCGAAACCTCATCTCTACAATAAATCAAAAAAGTTAGCCAGGCATGGTAGCGCATGCCTGTAGTTCCAGCTACTTGGAAGGCTGAGGCGGAAGGATCGCCGGACGAGGCTGGTCGAGGCTGTGGTGGCCGGGAGTGGCCCCTGCATTCCAGTCTGGGTGACTGAGTGAGACTCCAACTCAAAAAAAAAAACAAAAATAAAAATTTGACCTCAATAAAAAGCTGTTTATTAATAATGCCACCAAACGGATAGGATAAGGCCTGTTTTTTCACATCCTCATTAATGCTACATACTCTGTTTTGTTTTCAAGTTTTGGTCAGTCTGGCAAGTGGCAATGTCAACCTGTGGTTCTGATTTTCATTTCTTTGCTTGCCAGTGAAAATGAGTGTCTTTTCATACAGTTATTGTCCTTTTGTGAGTCTCTTACTGTAAATTACCTTTTGGTATTTCTTACCCATTTTTCCACCAGGTAATTTATCTTCTTATTAACTATATGATTGATCTACATGCTGCTTATTAAATATATGTTTTCTCCTAAGGTTGTAAATTGTGTCCTTTAAAATATCTTTATGTGTGGGATCTTTTGGTGAACCAGATTTTTTTTTTTTTTTTTTACTTTTTCAATAAATTTTTAATTTTAGATAGATTTAGATGTACAGTAAAGTTGCATGAATAGTACAGAAAATTGACTGGGATTTTTGTGTGACTGAATCTTTTTATCTTGAATAGGAAGGCCTTCCTCACCCTAAGACCGTAAAAATAGTGTGTTCTATTTTCTTTCAATACTTATATAACTTTGTTTCTGTTAGCTCTTAATCTCATCTAGAATCTATTTTTCCTCAATATGAGACAAGGATCTAACTTGATTTTTTCCTCCCCTAAAGAGCCAGTAGACCCAACACCTTTTTTTTTGTTTGTTTGAGTCAGGGTCTCACTGTTGCCCAGGATGGAGTACAGTGGCACGATAACAGCTCACCACAGCCTTGACCTTCTGGGCTCAGGTGATCCTTCCGCCTCGTCCTCCAGAGGACTACAGATGTGCACCACCATGCCTAACTAATTTTTTAATTTTTTTTTTTTTGTAGAGACAAGATCTTGCTGTGTTGCCCAGGCTGACAACACTGATTTGTTTGTCTTAATAATTCATCCTTTCACAGCAGATTTGAAACTAACTACCTTCATTATATCTTATGAAGTTTATGATTTCACTCCTTTATCTGCTAAGCCACATTAAGCTGTGATTTCAGGAGTCAGTGCCCTTTGCGGGATTTCCTTATAGCTACAGGGCCCATAGTAAGTGCCCCTTAAATGCTGAGGAGTGAATAAAACAGAGCATCCTTTACCTGACTTTGAAACACACGTGTCAACCTTGTGCCAAGAGCTCTACCAGGGAAGAGGATGGCTCCTCGGGACAGGTGTTTTTTATTTCATTTTCACTTATTTGTATGAGTTGTATTTCTTTTTCTAAATAGATAAAGCATTCAAATGGTACAAAATTCAAAAGACACCAAGGAGTAGATATTGAAAATGCACCCCTCCCCCTGTGCCAGAGGCACCTAGCTAGTCACCATTCTGTGTGTGTGTGTGTGTGTGTGTGTACGTACGTACATATACATACATGTTCTCCCTGTATCTTCTTTTTACTTCTTGGCAGTCTTTCCATCCTGGGTGGTAAAGAGCTTCTGACTCTTTTTTCCAACCTCCTTGCATACACTGTGGGTCTTTCATCAGCCACTGCCCCACCGTGCTGCCCACTGTGATGTGGACAAGCTTGCTTGCTGGTGGCTGCCCCACTGGGCTCCATGCCCAGACTGACCCCAGGAAGAAAGGCAGATTGTTGGACGGGGGCTGTCACACTCTTAGTCTACTCAACTGAGTGGTCAAGCACAAAGCGAGAACTCCCACTGACATTTATGCAAGGCACCCCCAGGGCCCTTTCTTATTAATGTAGACTTCATGGGATGTGCCACACATTTAAGGAAGAGTTGAGCTTCACCATGAAAAATGAAAGTAAATACGAGAGCAAACCACCTGAAATGGAGCCAACAGAAAGAGGAAATTCTAGGAGGGATAGCTGCCTTGGGATGGTGGCCCCGCTGGGTGGATCTGGTCGCTGTTGGGAAGAGCAGCCGGTGCTCCTGCTTCTGTTCAGGGCCTCTGGCATGTGCTTGGAGCAGCCACTTGCAAGATCCCTGTCGGGAAGAAGGGGGCTGCCTGCATACCACTGAAAGCTGATGCTCCCAGGCTCTGGGGACCCTCCTCCACCACCATCTGAGGCTGTTTATTAAACATCCTGTGCATGCTGCTTCAGTGTGGAAGGGAACAGCCTGGGCAACATAGTGAGACCTCATCTCTACAAAACACAGGCAAGGGAGCCGGAAGCTACCCGTCTGGTAGGGAGCGCTCCCAACACCTAAGGCTGCGATGACTTCTGTAGTGACCCAGGGGCTGGAGCAAAGCCCAGACCAGCTCGGCTGCCAGGTGCTGAGTGAAGGTGCAGTGCTGGTGTCCTCTGGGGATCTCGAGAATGACAAACAGGCAGCCAGCCCCAGCTCTGAACTGGTCAGCACGGCTTGCAGTTTTCGACTACACCATGGCGTGAACATACCCTTCGCGCGCCTGTCTGGTGACCGTGTCAGGACAGAGGGTGTTTGTGGTAAAGAGGCAGAACCAAGACTGGGAACTCATTGACATCTGAGCCTGCCGGAGGGTGAGGGTTCAAGTGAATTGGGGCCTGGGCCTCTGTGATGAGGAAGGTCCAACTGTCCCCCACCTTGTTCTTGGCTTGCTGCTAGAACTAGGGCCTTCTGATCACCCATCCCCCACCCCCCACCTGGAAGGGCAGAGGCTTGGGGACTTTGCACTGTGTTAAGGAGAATGAGGGCAAGGGGACCTCCCTCTTCCCCCCCTAATAAACATGAGTCTGATGTTCTCCACACACACACACACACACACACACACACACACACACACACACACACAAATTAGCCAGACATGGCGATGCACGCCTGTAGCCCCAACTCCTCGGGAGTCTGAAGCAGAAAGCTGGACTGAGCCCAGGAGTTTGAAGCTGTGGTGACCATCATCGTGCCACTATACTCCTGTCCAGGTGACAGAATGAGACTCCAACTCAGAAAAAGCAAAAACAAAAGAAATATCATAAACAACTAAACCATTTCCCTGCTTCAGGCTTTGTGTCATCTTAGAAGGAGGTCTAGAGTCTTTAAGACGGCCTGTGAGGCACCTTCATGACATGGCCCCGCCCACTGCTCCTCTCTCATCGTCCCTGGGACACACTGGGCACCTGCGTCTTGATGTCCCCTCGCTGCCTACCCCCTGCCACATTGGCAGGAGACGCCCACTCTCACATCCTGGTGGTCTTTGCTCACATGTCACCGCCTCAGAGAGACTCACCTGGTCATCTTTTCCCAATTAGCTTCCACCTCAGGGCTCTCCAGAACCTCACTTTTCTTTCTTTCTCTTCACCAACTTACCAGTACCAGAGATGTATTTGTTCCTGGGTTTCCTGCCCCCTCCCCCATCAGAGTGTCAGCTCCCTGAGGGTCAGGCCTTTGTCTGTCCTTCATGACTCTATCCCAGCATACTGAACAGTGACTTCAGTCTCATGGGGGCTTAGTAAGATTTGTGAATAACAAAATTTGGCACTCTTCTTACCTCTGTGATGGAAACACATTGAGATATTTGAGGGGGGGAGGGCGTTCCCAGAATTTGAACATCGTCTCTTGGTGGGAGGAAATTCCTCATTGGGCCTCCTTCCGCACAGACGCTGAGAGCCAGATATTCCTTTGTTCCACTGCCTGGGAGCTAGATCCAGGACTGACCAATTGGATGCTCCTGAGGGAAGGTTCCAGGGACAGCAGCCCTCACTAGGCTCACCTTGAGCAGGGATCTTGCCAGGGCCACTGCTGCCCAGCATCCCTGGGCCAGTGTCTCCACCATCCCATGAATTCTGGAATTCCCCAGTATCCTCTCAGCATCTCTTCTGTCTGATGCCCACCAAGGAAGACCTAGCTGATGGTGTAGAAGTGCAGTCAGCCTTGGGAGAAGACAGCCTTCATGACTGCCAGGTGTTTGCTGAGCATAAGAGTAGGGTCCACGCAGGTGCAACAGGGCTTCCCTCAAAGCCCTCCCTGTTTCCTTCCCATTCCCACTCACTCTCATGCAGCACCAGAGGGCTCCGCCTTCCCTTCCCCCTGTTCACCATTGTGTCCAGACCCTGGATCAGTTCCTGGATGCCTCGCTCTACCATGGACTCCCTTCCTACTTGTTCTTTAGATCTGCCGGCCCTGAAACTGCACAGCCACATGGATGGCGCCACACATGTATTTCTGTCCCCAACTCGTGCCCTGACCCCTTCACTCTGAGTTCCGGGTCAACCTCCTGGAACCCTCAGCAGATTCCTCACTTCATCATGCTCCCTGCTGCTGCAGCCTCCGCACTCCCAGCAAACAGCAGTGTTCCTGCCACCCCTACTGTTAATAGGCACATCCAGCACACTCCCAATGCTCACCTCCTTCCTTCCCAGCGGGCCCATAATTCTGGACCCCAACAGTCCTGCCTCTTCCAGAACCTTTCTTCTGCAGTCATCCCTTCTGATTCCTGTAGGGTTAGCTTTTCATTCTCTGCTAGCTCTTTCTCCACAGCAAATAAATGTGCTCATGTGTCTCCTATCTTAAAACAGCAGTTCTGCTGGGCTCGGCTCAACCTGTAGTCTCGCGCTTTGGGAGGCCGAGGTGAGTGAATTGCCTGAGCCCGTGGGTTCAAGACCCACCTGGGCAACTTGGCAAGCCCTCATCTCTACAATAAATAAAAAAAATTAGCGGGGCATGGAAGCGCACGCCTGTAGTTCTGGCTACTTGGAAGGCTGAGGCGGAAGGATCGCCAGAGCCCAGCAGGTCGAGGCTGCAGTGGCTGAGAGCGAGCCACTGCACTCTAGCCTGGGTGATGGAGTGAGACTCCGACTCACACAAAACAAGACAAAACAAAAAACAGCAGTTCTGTCTACACCCACATTTGGATTTCTGCTGAATTGACCATCTCCTTCCAGGTTCTGTCTGATCCGTCCAGCAGTGTGAGCTTCCTTCAGATGCACACATGGTCATGTCACTGCTTTGCTCAAAATTCTCAGGATGAAACTTCAGCAGCAGACTGATGTTGGAGAGCCTTTGTGCCCACCTTCCCAGTCCCACCTGTTCCTCCATCCCCCTGCAGGCTTCCATGCTTTTTCCACATCCTAACATCTTGCAGCTACTTAAACTCATGATGAACGTTTGCCTACAAGCTTTTCCACATCTGTCTTAAGAGGCCTCTTTCCATCCTCCTCCTCTTTGCCTGGTTTCCATCTCTCAGCCTCAACACTAGGAGCAGCCTCCTGACCCAGTGCACAGCAGTCAGGTCCCCTCTGCTGACCCCTGGGCTGTGGGCATTGTAGGGGCAGCGGCTGTGGCTTTGCTCTCTGGGTACACAGAGGCCGGCATGGAAGAGGGGCTCGCGGAGCATGCTTGTGCTGTGGTTGCTTCTAGGGGGCAGATTTCAAAAAAGCAGAGGGAAGGAGATAGGATTTTCTGCAAAGAAAGATGAGTCAGGTGGACTACAACTCAGAGTGTGGATTGCAAATGAACCCAGGGAGGAAAAGGGGGGAAGTATCTAAAGGCTGGGAACTCCCCCAGAACTCCTGCTTGAGCTCAGGTTTTGACACACGTGGAATACAGAAGGGGAGCAGGGTAAGTGGACAAGTGGCACGAACCAGTGTTGTTGGGAAATGCCAGTGGCCATCCAAGGAGCTTCTGTGTAGTTATTTTTGAAGCAAGGAGTACTCTTTTGGGCTGACAATAAAATGTTAACACTGATGAAGAGAAAGCAACACTACATAATTCCTATTTTGCTTCTTTGTTGAGGGGAAAATTTTTTCATCTGGAATCAATATTGGTTGGAGAGCATTAAAGTCTGAGCTGACTGGGCTTGGTGGCTCAGCCAGTAATCCCAGGACTTTGGGAGGCCGAGGAGACTGGATTACCTGAGCCTGCGAGTTCGAGACCCACCCAGGTAACTTGGCAAGACCTCATCTCTACAATAAATAAAAAAAATCAGCTGGGTGTGGTTGCACACGCCTGTAGTTCTGGCTACTTGGAAGGCTGAGGCGGAAGGATAGCCGGAGCCCAGCAGGTCGAGGCTGCAGTGGCCATGAGCGTGCCACAGCACTCCAGGCTAGGCAACAAAGTGAGACTCCAACTCAAAAAATAAATAAAAAATAAAGTCTGAGCTAGTGCAGGAGACTGTGTGATGGCATCTCACTGTGCAGATGGGGTCCAGTCCCCTCCAGTGAGAGGATGTCCCGCCTCTGCTGGGAGATGTGGGCTCTGACTCCATGGGGACTTCACTTACTCTTTGGCAGGTCAGCCGAAATCATACTCTGTAGAGATTGGAGTACGCGTACCTAGGTTTTCCTAGGTCATTTAATAGAGGCTGTCATCATATTCTGGGGGCAGCATGAAGGAGTGTGGGCTGAAAGATGGCAGAAGGATGTAGGCTTAGCCATCAGAGTGCGCCTGGAGGGCAAGCCCCTAAGGCCACCCAGAGTTCTATCTTCACTAACAAGTTGGCCAGGGCAGAGCCCATGTTTTGGATGAGGCCATTAATGGAACAATGGTCAGATTCACAGATGACATGAGTACAACTGACAGCAGATTGAAGATCCGAGAAGATCTCAACAGACCGTAATGACGGGCTGAGTCGAAAAGGGAGGCCCAGCTGCACAATTAAGAACAGGATCTGGGAAATGGGATTTGACAGCAAGATGTGTGAAAAAAGACTTTGAGCTCAATCTGTTAACTGCGTCGCCTCGTCCTTGGGGCTGCCAAGAAAATGAGCATCAGCCTCAGTTCCAAGCATCTCACTTGAAAGAGAACATTGACAGCCCCCAGGGCCTTCGGAGGACCCATACCCAAATGCAAAAAGACTCCGGAAGATGGGAAAGGGGGGCTGTTGGGCCTGCAGAAGAGTGCCCATGAGAATGCAATGGTGGGCCTAACCCGTCAGCAGGCTCCTTCTCGGAGACCCCAGGGTGCGGGATCCAGAAGCTTTGGGTGGAAGTCCCAGAGGGGAGATTTTGGCAGAATGTGGGAACAGCTTCCTTTGGTTAGTCCAGTAAATGAATTGGCTGTCTTGGCAGACACTGCACTTCCTGTGCTGAAATGAACACTTGTTGGGGGTGTGGCAAAGGGAATTACATAGATGATTATGCAGACGTTAGATGAGGGGACTTCAAGGTGTTTTCTAAGCCCAAGCTTCTGTGATTTGATCATCATACAAAGAAAGGGGCGAGCACAGTGGCTCATGGCTGTAATCCCAGCACTTCGGGAGGCTAAGGTGGGCAGATGGCTTGAGCCCAGGAACTTGAGACCAGCCCAGGCTACATAGTGAAACCTTGTCTCTACAAAAAAAATCAAAGAAATTGCTGGGTGTGGTGGTGTGCACCTGTAGTCCCGGCACAGGAGGCTGAAAAGGAAGAATCACCTGAGCTTAAAAAATTGAGGTTGCTGTGAGCCATGATCATCGTGATGATGCCGCTACACTCCAGCCTGGGCAACAGAGTGGGACCCCCCCGGTTCAAAAAAAGAGAGAGAGGGGAGGGAGGGAAAGAGAGAAAGAGAAAAAGAGAGAGAGAAAGGAAGTTGA